GCTAGAAACCCCGTACTTGCTCTCGAACCCGAAGGTGTTGCAGACGGGAAAGCCGGATTTTTCCGCCGACGGCGGCGAGCCAGCCCCCGAGATCTCGAAACTCGCCCACACCTCAGTGCTTGCACACAAAAGCGTCTATCTTGCGGATGACTTTGCGTTCAGTGAACACTTGAGGGCGGCCATAGTCTCACTCATCGAGACTCTCGGCGGCACCGTGCAGCACCAGTTCGATCTGGGGCACATCGATGTGTACATCGGAAAGCACCGTCTGGGCGCACAGTTTCAACAATGTTTTGCTGCGCCTCGAATTGACGTCGCTAGCTTGCACTGGCTTTTCCATATTGCCACGCAGGGCCACTACATCCGGCCACTAGAGTCCAACGTGCTCCACTTCCCAATCCCCACCCGCGGGGTGCCGCAATTCCAAAACTTACGTATCAGCATCACGGGCATCAGTGGAGACGCCCGGCACTACCTTGCAGGCTTGATTGCAGCCATGGGGGGCACGTTCACCAAGACCCTCGATTGCAATAATGATTATCTTGTGTGCGCGCAGAGGCTGGGCGACAAGTATCACGCGGCACACCTGCGGTGGCCCGATGTTAGGCTCGTCAACCACTTGTGGATCGAGGAGTGCTTTTCCACGTGGCTGTTTTTGGATGCCACTGACTCTCGATATGCTTCAATCAGCTCGCTGACCCAGCCCCTCGGCAAAACACGCCTTTCAAGGACTTCCCTCGAGGGAACTTCTCTCGCAGAGCACATTATACCCCTGGACGTGGACGACAGTGTAGGTGACAGTATGGCCGAGCAAGATGGTGCCGAGCGTTTTGCTGGTTCTGCCAGTCTATCACCAGTCATGCAATCGCCAAAAACCCAATCGCCTGCAATTCAGCCACCAGCTCCACCATCGCCGCTCCCAGTGGCAAGGTTTTCCAGCTTCAAAACCGCCGAAAACTCCCAGCTCACTGATTTCACTCAAGAAAACAGCAAGACCCCTGATATCTTTACACCGTCGCCCGGAGAAGTTGTTGTGGTCGACACCACAAGTTTATCTTCTCCTGTGACATCTCAGGTTCGTGCCGGTCGGTCCGCGAAGGCGAAGGCTTCTTTGAAATTGCACTCAGACATGAAGGATCTCAACCAGTACACATCGATGTCAAAGTCCTCGCGCAAGATGAAGAGCTACATGGAGCAGCTCGAGAAAACAGCTACTCCCTCGAAGAAGAAAAGAGAAAGTGCCGATGCAAGCGAGCCAGAGCCCGTGCAGCCGACTCCAAAAAAACAGAAGACAGATACGGAAGTGCATTTGGTGGCCATTTTGACTGGATGTGAGCAAATCTTGACCTTGACCAAGTCTGACGTGAGCAAGCTCTTGAAGGTTGGCATACGCATCGTCAACGACTACAACCCGAAAAAGCACATCGACACGATTGTTGCCCCAAGGGTGCTTCGCACAGAAAAATTCCTAAAGAGCTTGAGTAAAGCCCAAAAAATAGTCCACCCCAGCTTCTTGAGCGATATACTTAGTCGCCACACGCTCACTAGTCTTTCATGGTCTGAGTTAATCAAGGAATTCAACATCGAGGACTATCTCTTGGACAAAGTGGTACCTGTTAAGCAGATCAACGACGACCTTGGTGTTTCTGGCAAGGCCAGTGGTTTACAGCGGCTTCTATCCCAAGACCTTCCACCTGTTTTCAAAGGATATGCTCTCAACTTCTCCCTGAACTTGGTCGGAGGAGCGGATCTCATCAGCAGTATCTTACGGGAACATGGGCTCTCCGACTCCAAGACCGTGAAGTTTACTGCAGGTACTCGCAAGTCCGGCTTGCTAAGTATGGATGGGGGTACAACGATCTTGGTCGCCCATAAAACAAAGGACAAAAAGGCAGCGTCAAAAATCGAGGGTGTTACAGTGGTTGAATGGGAGTGGTGCGTGAAGAGCATTTTTCACAAGAAGGCGCAAGAATACGAGAGTTATATCATTTGAATTCGAATGCAGGTGTTTTGGGAAGACAGAATATCTTGAGTTGCAGAGAAACGCGTATCTGCACAAACCTTCTACGATGGTGTATTGCGCACGAACTGGCAGAATAGGAAAGTCAGCCCATTGAGGTTGACTGTATATTTAGTTTCTGAAATCTTAGATATCTATCAAGCTAGGCTCCTCTTTAGAATTGCCGAAGCCATATCCGGTATGTGCGGCATCTATGCGAGGATTCGGGGTGTTATTGTTCGCAGTGTTAGCAGTGTTACCAATTCCCGTGTTCAAAAATGGGTTCCCCGTTGCGTTTGAGCTTACCCTGTGGTCACTAATGGCATTATTGTATCCAGTACCACTCGAGTTCATAAAAGTGCCTGTCTTGGTGTGCTGATGTGGAATACGGGTTGCACCGGTATTACCAAATGTGTCCAATCCCGTCCCTGAAGCTAAGAGGTTGTTAAGCTCGTGCGTTTCGTTATACCTTGAAGGCTGCTGCTGTACCTGTGCTTGTTGCTGTGCTTGTTGCTGTGCTTGTTGCTGTGCTTGTTGCTGTGCTTGTTGCTGTGCTTGTTGCTGTGCTTGTTGTTGTGCTTGTAGAGCATCATTCTGAGTTGCGTATTGTGATGGCTGGGTGTAGAAATTGGCGACAGCCAGCTGCTGAGACTGTTGCTCAGACTGGCGAGCTGAGTCATTCAGCAAGGCAAAGGGGTTATTTGAGCCAGTCTTGAGCGGCGTTAATCTCTCTTGAGGGTTCGCAGCGACGTTGAAGCCAGTATACTGCGGGATCTGAGGCTGGGACTGCACGGGTTGCGGCTCGCCAAACTGGCCATAAGTCATGTTCTGGTAGAAACCACCGGCAGTGGGCTGGATTGGGTTGCCGAACATATCGAACTGTTGGTACAGAGTCTGCTGCGGCTGGAAGAATTGGGTGGGCTGCACATACTGCACGGGCTGGTAGTATTGAGGCTGTTGCTGGAACTGCAGAGTGTCTCCCAAATCCAATAAGTTTTCGTTCTGCAGGTTCAGCTGGCTGCGCAAGCGGCGCATCTCTTCTTCCTCGAGGGAGAGCTTGAGGGCGGCTTGCAAGTCTGGGTCCTCGGTATCGTCGGGGCCCGCCGGGCGGTTGTGCAGCTCGCGTTCGGCGGTCTCTCTCGAGATCTCCAAGGCACGCTGCAAGTCGGCGTCGTAGGGGTCCGACGGGCGGTCGTTCCGTTGAGGCGGCCTCTGGGGGCGCTGGGAGCGGGAGCGCTGAGCCAAGCGGCGCTCGGTGGCGAGCCGCTCGTCGTCGCGCAACAAGGCCACCAACTCCTTGGCCTTGACCCGGATGAGCGCGCCGTGGTCGTTGTTGGCCTCGTCAAAGTGCACAAACTCGCGTAGTGTCTTCACAATATAGAGGTTGTCCTTCAGCCAAAGCACGCATTTGTCGGAGCCAAAGCGCACAAGGTAGTCCAACACAGTCAAGGACTTGGCCACGTGGCGCCAGTTGCGGCCCTTGTCGTTGAGGCGGCGGTCGAGCATGTCCATGATTTCCAAAAACTCTGTTTGCGAGTTGAACGAGGCCAGGGCAATCTGCTCCATGTCGTAGGTGGTTGGGCCCAGCGGGTCATTCAGGGTGGCATTGCGCACAAGCACTTGGGTGGCGGAGTAGCCGTTGGCAACGTTTTTTATGGAGCGCACGATCTTCGACATGGCACGAAGGGGCGGGTTTGCGGGGTCGATAAGGCTGTTGACGGACGTCGATGGTCGGGCAAGTTCGGTGTAGATAGGGAGGGCGTGACACCCGTACACCGGCGGCGGGGCGCGGGCTGCGCGGAGCGACTGGCGGAGGGTTTGTGGACGGAACAGGAAAAGAGGGACGTTTTTGCGGCGATTTGCGGACGGGTGGCGGGCCAGGGAAAATGCAGTGTTTTGAGACGCTGGCCGGCTTTTCGTGTTTGAACCCTTGGTTTTTGATGTGTTTTGGGGCTCTTTTGTTTTCCATGCCGCGGCGGGTAGTAGTAGTGGCGGCGATCTGGGTGCGAGGCTGGGGGCGTGCGCGACACCCGTGCACCACGGACTTCGGCAGGACCGGCCGCCCTGGCCTGGCACGTCTGGCACTGCAGGCGGGCTCTGGAGCATGGTTCCATAATAACAAGGGTTTCTTCAGATTTGGCGAAAGTGGCCTTCTACGATATCTGAAGCCAGATATGTGGACGCTTGTTTGGCGATGGAATATTTTGTGGCCCGCTTGTTTGGGTGATGGAATATTTTGTGGACTCCCATTATTATTGATACAGTGGTTGATTGGCGCGGGCCCCAGACCCTGCTCTTTGATTACTTCAGCCTGCTGTTGAGTTTTTGGCTGCACCCGGACAACAATGATGCTGGTGCCCCTACAGAAAAGCGCATAGTAGTAGGAGCGGAGCGGCAAGTGCTTTTCCTGAATGAACGAAAAACGGAAGGAATCAGACGGTGTTTTTTTCTGATTGTCAAGCCTGTTGGTGAGGGTTCTCAGAAGCGGCCCCAATACATGACTGGCCCCAGAATGGATGCTCATTTCGCAGCAATTGAGAGGCCGCGCCCAAACCCACCACGACAGCTTTCTACATGTCACATCGCAGAAAAATACATCCAAAGCATCTTGTGTTTTGCAACTGACCGACCAAATGGGAGGAGGAAAGCTGGGTCGGGAAAGCCGAAACAGCCGTGCGCTCAGAACCGAAACCGCATGGCCCAACAATTGGAGGCTGTGCTAGGAGCGCGAGAGCTGACCAAAAGACATTGTAGAGGCAGAGGACGCGGGGTCTCGCGTCCGTGTCTTTGGCAAACTGGCGAGGCAGCAACGGGCGTCGTATGTCGTATGTATATTCATATATACAAGTGCCGATCCACAGGCCCATCTAAGTGGCCATACTTGGGTTGGATCGATGAGCCATGATTCCACGGGTCAAGAAGGTCCGCACAGCTACGCTTCACAGGAAACCGCCTGGCCTGCTGCGCTCTCGTTTAGCCCTGGTATGATTGGTCCGAGCGGCGCAAGGATCAATTGAGAAACACCAGCGTGGACCTAGTGATGGGCCGGAATAAGCGAGTAGCACCGGAGCCGCACATTGGATGGAAAGAACGTTGCATTTTCACGCACACTGGCGATATCGGGACTGTGCTCCTGCACCACCCAATATGCCAGTCGACAATGCAGCCCTTGAGGGACAAAAGCATGCCATCGGCAATGGAATTGGGCTTTTGCATCCTCGGTCCTCGTGCTACCCACGAACGATTTCCTGGGGAGCTGGGTGGGTGTACGGGTGGGCTCATTGGTGGTGGGGCTAATAATGACGGGTCTGGTTTTTGCTGTGTCCTGGGCCAGTCCCTGTGTCTTTGTTGATGTTCTCAGTGTCTAACTCTTGATGAGGTGCGTTCGTCCTGACGAGTCTAATTGTCGACGAGCCGAACGTTAGACGGGCTAATTCTTGATGTGTCAAGTCCTGGCGGAACTTTGCTGGTGAGTCTGCTTGGGGTCTCACCACTGGCGAGTCTGCTAGTTGATGGGTCTACTGGTCGACGGGCCGAATTGGGCATGAAAGTGAGTGAGGGTACATTTACCAGTGGACCCCGTAATTTACGACCCGTGCAAAAGTCATCCTGATGTCAAGACTTTTTATTATTGTTGATGGCTCGCTTCGGGGCCACTCGAGCCCATCGTGGTGCGTCCATTGGTGACCTGGGCCGGCCAACAGCCACGGGCAACTGGGCCCCCAGACGTCTGGCAAAAATGCCCCAAACGCCCCGAAATGCCCTCTCCCTTGGAATCTTACACACACAAAAACGGAGCCGACAAAACACCCGCCTTTTTTTTTTTTTTCAACAAACACCCGTGTCTACCGTTGGGGCTCTTTTTGACTTGCCTGCACCGCGAACAGGGCCAGCTAATAACTCCAGTGCGCAAGCTTAGGTGACGCAGGCAGACGGGGCCGGCCCACCAGACACGGGGTTCCGGCCACACCCGCCATTCCGGCGCTGGCTCCCCAAAACCGCCCGAATTCCTGAACGCGCCAGCCCGGCCCGTTTTTTTCAGCGCCGCAGTGGACATTTTTCTTGCTCCGTTTTTTCGCCACCAGGCCCCATGGCCCATTCGGGCACCTCGAGCTTATTTGCGCTGTGTGCACGCCCGTGCCCTTGGCCAGCCAGGCGCCTGCGCCAGGCCCCAGCAAACCACTGGACGCCAGTGCCACAAAAGCCCCACCACCGCCCAGGCGCCAGCCCACACGGCCTCAATCACACCCCGGGCAAAAAAATCTGGAGCCAAGTGGCCCGCCCATGGCCCGGCAAAACGCGCCCGGCAAAACGCTCGACGCGGTCGTGCGCGCACCAGCGTGCTCGATACCGGTATCTTTTTCCCGTAAACACAACAACAACCGCCCCATTCTCTTTCCCGCCCACCGAAAACCCACCCCACCCCGTGGCAGCCCCGAGTTTTCGCCCCAGCATCAAGCCCCGCGCCCCGCCCCTCCCCTGTGCCGTGGACCCCGGAAACAAATTCGCCGCCTGCCCCTTTTTGTGCCCGCCAAAATTTCCACCATTTCGGAGCCTTACCCCATGATGCTGCTGCTCTACGAGGGCGACGTCCGGCGCTGCCGGCGCTGCAAAAGACGGCGCATGGACGACGAGCCGCCCGAGGTGCAGCAGTACAAGACCTGCGCCAAGTGCCGCATCATCGAGCGCACCAAAAAGAAGTCCCGCAAGCCGTTGGCCGAGGAGACCATGCGCTACGGCATGCGCCAGTTCCAGGAGCAGCTGCAGAACCTGAACTTCATCCACGACGACATTTTCCTGAACGACCAGCTCATGAACGACATGCACGCGGCCGCCGCGGCCCACGACGCGCTGGTCTTGGCCCCCGGCGCTGGCTACAAGCCGCCCGGGCCGCTGTTCTCGCCGCTGCTGTACGCCATGTACAAGCAGCCGCCAGCGCCCCAGTACGGCGCCGCCGTGCCCGCGCAGCCCGACGCGGCCAGCTACAGCTACTTGTACGCGAGCCCCGCGGGCGCGCCCGCGCCGCCGCTGGCGCAAAGACCGCCGCTGGCCGC